AGCTTCTTTCTTTCAGTTAGTCTCAAAGGTGCTACAAAATCTCTCTACTCAGGTTTACAGTTGTACATTAGAGACTCAGGGACTATGCAGATGGGGCAAATAGACGTGCTTTGAGGCTGACTTGAAGGCGTGGCGTTTAGATGACGTACGGGCTAAAAGCTGGCAGGAAAGCACCCTCTAGGCATCGTATGCTGGGAAAAGCCACTCCTAAAAGGAGCAGCTTTTTCCCACTTCTTTGGCAAAGATGTGTACCTTCGCATGTGTATATGTATGCAGCAACACCAGTGTGCCAGAAAAAGGGTGCCAGAGATCTAAAACGGCTGTATAAATGAACCGCTGCACATGCGGTGGAAATTGAGTCGGCAATCCAGAGCACGCATCCTATGAAGCAGGGTTTAATTTAAAGTGCCCTATGCTTCCAGGTGTGGATGCACCGGCGCAGGTGCGCTTTAATGTTAGAACCCTAACCCTAACTGTAACCTTACACATGTGCCCTACCAACTGTTCTCTATTATGACAATAAATGCATTCTGTCATGTGTGTGCTTGCTGCAGCATGCACAGTAGTTTGCATGAAAGAGGCTTTTGTGACCTCTTCTGTGCACCACTTCCTGGCATGATTGGGGGGGGGGGGCTCCTGGAGTAACATTTGTCTGTGTGCTCTGTTGACCATGTCCCTTGTATGACCACCAGCTACATGTATCCAGTCTGTCCACACAAACCTCCCTTGCATGTACCTCTCCCCTCCCCTCAATCTGTGTAGGACATGTTTTGTGGAGGATGATGGAGTAGGTGTCTTTTTAGTTGACAAACTCATTCCTTCACCCCAAGGTTGGCACAATCAGATAGTGGCACCTGTTTACTGCATCACCTCCGAAGCCGAGGTCAGTGAATCCTTGCATGATATGAGGGTGTAGGACAGGTCCTGCTCAGGTGTGTAGGGATGCCGAACTTCAGTCACCTTTGTACACAGAGAGTGACCAACTGTATACCAGCCTGTGACATGTTCCTGTGCACATGTGCATGCGTCTGAGAGAATGGGAAAAAAATTAAAGCAACCGCTGCCATCCCATGCGGTTGCTCCGTCTTCCTTTGCGGCGTCTTTGGGGCCGGCGGTGCAATTGGCGAAGCTTCAATACAGCCTTGGAAAAGCTGCATTGACTCCCCCCAATGCAGTTGCTCCATCCCCATTTAGGGCATCCTCAAGGCAGGTGGTGCGGTTGCTACAGCTTAGGGGAAAGGCAGCTTCAGGTCACCTTTTCCTGCTCATCTGTATCGACCCTCAGTTCCATGAATATTTGTGGAATGGGCCCACGGGTCCCCTCCTGCTTTTGCTGCCTAAGTAGGTTGGGACCCCGTGAGGGTGTATAGATGGGCTGCCACCACCCACTGATTCTAACCCCTTTCCTTGTAACTCAGGTGGGAAATTACTGGGAAAAACTGCACTTTCCTCCTCTGACTCTGCAGAGATTTCCCTCCCCACACCCCTGTGGAGAAGATGAGACTGAGCCAGCATGTGAAGAGTGTGAAAGAAGTACTTTAAGGGAAAGTTTTATCCTAAGCAAGAAATCGACAATAGCGAAAGATATCTTTCTTCACATAGAGCACCTTCCCTTCAGGCATACTTAGGAATTACTTAGATCATATTCAGCCAAGATCACAAAATAAAAATAAGCCCCGACACAGATAAAGTAAACATATTCCTAGCTACTTGTGGTGGGATTTGGGGTCCCTGATGTTCATGGGGATAGCCAGGAGTCTGGACGTTTTGTTCAATCTCAACCAGTTTCCCTGAGATGGGAGAGAAGCCCTCTGCCCCCCAGCATCCTTGTTCTTCTCTCCACCTCATGGTCCCTGAAGCCCTTTATAACTTCTCCTTGGGAGCATCTCTTTTTTTTTTTTTAAATTTAATTTTAAATTTTATTGTATTAAAATTAATTAAATTTTAATACAAAAAAGGAAGCATCTCTAACTCCTGCGCAACTGGCCATCCCATTGGGCAGCTGCCTCTCATGACCTGTGACTTCTTGAGGTCTCTTCCAGCTCTATGATTCTGTGTGATTCGTGATGCTGACTCCAAAATATTAGTCTATCATTAACCCTTTGTTTACCTGGAGGGATGACTATCCCTCAGTTGTGTTGTCCACATAAAGGGAGATTCATTATCACAACCTATATATCGTTGACCCTCCATATGCACAGATTCTTTATCCACGGATTCCACCATCCATGGCTTGAAAATATTTTTAAAAAAATTCCAAAAGGCAAACCTTTTGTTACTTTATATAAGAGACACCGTTTTACTATGCCTTTGTATTTAATGGGACTTGAATATCCACGGATTTTGGTACCAAACCCTAGTGGACACCAAGGATCTACTGTACATCTAAAAGTGACCAAGATTTTATTTTTCAAGCTGTTTCATTCTCTGTTATTTCTGAATTTTTGTCAACCAGCACTATCTTACCCCCAATAAATTGTTATTATTTTTTCTTTACTTTCCCATTTTCAACAGTGGCAGCTGATCATTGTGATGTCAAGTTGGGGGAGTAAGCCCGCTCTGGGTTTTAGTTTGAAATTTAAAGGAACTATCCAAGGGGCCAAACAACATTTCCAAAATGAATTCAGCGCCATAAGTGACTCCTTTAAGAATCACACTAAAACCCAGAGACCTCAGCCACCACTATATTTAAATGGAAAAAATTATCATAGTCACTGGAAGACTTGCTTCTTCACTTGGTACCAAAGATAAACTATGCATACATAAATAAATTATGTGTACAGAAACTATGCATACAGAAACTCTTGAACATTGACAAGGAAATCTAGAGGTCAAGCCATAATTAAAGAGGAAAGAAGGAAAAGATGACCAGATTTTGGTCTATTAATTAATTGGAAGCCAATTTTAACTGAAAAGTCTTGATTGAAATTGTAAGCAACGGCTGATTCAAATAACACATAGGATAGTTTTGGGACATTACCAAAAGTATAAGGGGATTTGTATGTCTTTGCTTTAAACCAGGGGCTCTTTCAGACTACAAAATTATGGTATGATGATTCTTAGAATTTTCAGCTAGAAAGCTGTAGTGCCTCTCTAAACTCCAGGATTCCAAAGGATGGTCAACTGTTTTGAACTGCAAATCCCATTATCCCTCATCATTGGCTGATGGGATTATAGGCCCAAAACATCTGGAGAGTCATAATAAAAGATTAAACAAAAATAAAGTTAAAACAAATACAGCACACGCTACAAGAAAATGTGTCTTAAAGTCAACTCCAAATATAGTGACCCTCTCACAGGGTTTGCTTGGAAGGAATGATTCAGAGGGAGTTTGCCATTGCCTTCCCCTGAAGCTGAGAGCATGTGACTTGCCCAAGGTCACCCAGTGGGTTTCATGGCTGAGCTGGGAACCGAACCCTGGTCTCCAGAGTCATAGTCCAACACTCAAACCACTATACCACCTTGGCTTTTTCCCAACAAAATACCAGCTCTATAATTAAAAACAAACAAATAAGAGTACTACTATGTCACTATATAAAAGAAAAATCTAAAAGCAGTCAGCAGGATTATACACACACCACAGCCAGCACAGTAACAAAGTAGAGGAAATTTAAAAACTTGGAAGAGTAGGTGCATTTCCCAACTCATTGGAAGTAGCAGTATGCAGATAGTGTCTATAGGTGAAGTGAAGATAAGTGCCAGGTTTCACATATTGGGGCCATGACTTTTTCCCAGTAGTCCACATAGTTTTCTCAGGCTCTAGTATGGAGCAGGACAGCTAGCCAGTCAGAGGCAGCCCAGATGATTGATGGAGACAGGACTCAGGACCAACTGAGGGCTTCACTCAGATCCGGGCCATATATTGATTGAGCATGCCTTATCCATTAATAATAATCAAATAATAATCACATATCAAAGACATGAAACAGGTCCTGAGGAAAGTCAAAGAGGAAAGTGCAAAGGCAGGTTTAATGTCAAAACTTAAGTAAACCAAAATAATGACCACAGAGGACATTTTCAAATTCAGTACAGATGATGAGGAAATTGAAATAGTCAAAGATTATTTTGGATCAATCACTGACCAAAATGGAAACTGCAGTCAAGAAATGAGAAGACTAGGACAAGGAAAGGCAACCATGTAAGAACTAGACAAAATCCTAAAGTACAAAGATATACAACTGAACACTACAATGAGGATTGTTCATGCCATCATATTTCCCATCACTATGTATGGGTGTGAGAGCTGGACGGTGAAGAAAGCTGACAGAAAGAAAATCAATTCACTGGAGATGTGGTATTGGAGAAGAGTGCCATGGACAAACAATTGGGTACAACCACAAAGAGGATCTGAAGTTTCTCTAGAAGCCAAGATGACTAAATTGAGGTACGTCATGAGAAGACATGACTCACTAGAAATGGTAGTAATGCTTGCAAAGATAAAGGGCAGTAGAACGATAATAAGACCACACACCAGCTGGATAGACTCGATCAAAGAGGACACAGCCCTAAGTCTGCGGGAACTGAGCAATGAGGAATGAAGATGACTCATTCACAGGGTTTCCAGAGGCCAACAACCTCTGTTAAGGGCAGATAACAACAACCCCTTATCCCAAATGCTTGGGACCGAAAGTGTCTTGGAGTTTTTTTGGATTTTGGAATACCTGTATTTGCACATATGTACACAATGAGATACCTTGGAGATGGACCCAAATCTAAACACAAAATTTATTTATGTTTCATACAGACCTTAAACACATAGCCTGAAGGTAATTTTATAAATCAGAATCATAGACCCATAGAGCTGGAAGCGGCCTCATGGGTCATCAAGTTCAAACTCTCTGTCCACTGCACAATTTCCAGCTAAAGCATCCCTAGTAGGTAGCTGTCCAGACTCTTTTTGAAGACATCCACAGAAAGAAACTTCATCACTACTCCATCACCTCTCTAGGCAACTGGTTCCATTGCTGAACCACTCTTATTTTTAAAATAATTTTCTGCATGAAAGCTTGTGTACACTGAACCATCAAAAATCAAAAGGATCACTATCTCAGCCACCAATGAAAAAAGTTTTGGTTTATTAGTATTTTAGATTTTGGAATTCTGGATAAGTAAGATGCAACCTGTAATGTGTTTCCTCCATCACATCAATAGTCCATCAGGTTTGATCATAGCCTCCTGCACTGGCAGGAGAATCAGGAAGAGACGAAACCTAAGATTGAATGAATTTCTGGATGCAAATAAATGAAGATTCTTTTTTGTTCTCATATTGCCCCACCTTCTGTCTCCTATTGTACCTCCACCACATTGTAAGCACCTGATCCTTCTGCCGATCAGTCCCTTCCCCTTCAACCTTGGTTCATTCCTTTCCTTTGCAGTCTCTGCTCCTGTGCTTTTACTTCTGAGTCTGCATGGTACTGAGTCACAACTCATTTAATTTAGATTTAGATTTCACTCTTATTATTTGCTCTCACTTCTGATGCAGAATCGTAGAGTTGGAAGAGATCTCAAAGGCCACCTAGTCCAACCACCTGCCATGTAGGAATATACAACTAAAGTACTCCTGAAAGATGACCACCCAACCTCTGTTTGATGACCTTCAGGGAGGTAGAGTCCACTACCTTCTGGGACATTCTATTTCACTGCTCTTTTCACCAGGAAGTTCTTCCTAATGTTTAGGTAGAATCTTTTTCTTGTGATTTGAATCCATTGGTTCATGTTCTGCCTATGAAGCAGCAGAAAACAAGTTTGTTTCATTTTATACATGACACCACTTCAAATATTTGAAGATGGCTATCATGTCACCTTACAGTCTTCTTTCCTCCAAGCTAAAAAGTCCCAGCTCTCTAAGGTATTCCTCCTGGAAGTTGGTTTCCAGACTCATCTTGGTCATATAAAATTACTTTTATAAAATTAAAAAATGAACTTATTAATTCCTATGTTTCCTCTCCAGCAGCTTTAGCTACAATTGTTTGTTGTCCTGTTCCTCTTTTACTTTTCATTTTGAAATTACATAAATGTCTTGTCCTTACATGTTTTGATATCACTATCAGCAGATAGTGCTGATTCACTATCATATATCTTAATATTCTGGGGTTTCTTCTGGTCTTTCCCCTAAATCTATTTACTAGCAGTTTTTCTGTTTTCTTCTAATTATCCTAAGCTCAAATTCTGTAACTACTGCTCCTTATGTTCTTTCTTTTTAGTTCTCTGAACTTGTCATTTCTTAGTTTTCTTCTTGGTTCTGAACTTTCTTTTTCCATATTTACTCATGGAATTTTGGCTTCTTTCCTCCTTTCAGATGGAGTTTTTCAGAATTATTTAATGCATTTTCTCCCTTAGACTCGTAGAAACCAACTCATTGATTCACAGAAATATAAGAGCTGGAAAAGATTCAAGGCCCATCCAGACCAACCCTATTCTACCATGCAAGAAAACACAATCAAAGCATTCCTGACAGATGGCCATTCAGTTTCTGTTTAAGACCCTCCAAAGAAGGAGACTCCACCATATTCCAAGGCAGTGCATTTCACTGTAAAATTATTATCAGAAGTTCTATTAATTCTTCAGTGCCAATGACTAGACTGAAGCATTACCCCTTTTCTTCTCTTTCCTTTTTCTAACCATTTTCCTTTCCTTAGGGATTCTTAGGTGGGAGTGATCATGTTCTTCTGGAGTTTCTATGATCATTTTCCATCACTGAAGTAGAGAGATCTTCTTTTTACTTTAACCTTAAATTATCTGTAACTCAGAAATTCAACTTTCCTCCTTCCTCGCATCTCCAAGGACAGGATGAAATCAATAGCAGCCCGTAGCTCCCATGTCAGTGGGATAGTAAATCTATTCTGGATTTTGGTGTGAAGTTTAATGCAGCTTTCCAAGGTACCAAACTTATTTTGAGCACAGAGTCCCATGTCTTGGACAGCTCTTTTATACAGTTTGGAGTAAAACCCAGAGCAGATTCTGTGCTTTTCTCTGATAGAATGGATTTCTGCTGTGAGCAAGGATTTGAACCCTGATCTCCAGAGTCATAGTCTAATGCTCAAACCACTACACCATGCTAGCTCTCTACTCCTCTAATTTCAAGGGCTGATTTCAAAAGCAGTGGCTGGTTTTCCTCAACAACATTGGTGTTCTCTTCTGTTTGGAGCAGCCTACAGGAATAAGATAATACCATATAAAGTGTACCTATATTACACAGTAACAGGAGTCTGATACCACTTTTACTGTAATGGCTCCAACCTACAGATCTGTAGTTGAGTGAGGTACTTAGAATTCTCCACTAGACACTCTTCTGAAGTGTAGCGCTAGAGCTTTGGAGCAGAGAATTCTAAACAAAGAATTCTAACCAAACTACAAATCCCAGGGTTCTGTAGGATGGAGTCATGGCTACTGTGCATAGTACAGATGATGGCACTGGCATTCATGGAAGGGTGGCTTGGAGGGAAAAGATGTCTGCACCTCATCGTTTCATTGTCAAGTTGCTGTTACCTTTAGAAACTCTTTCTTTTACAAAGACATCTCTAAGCTTGCCATCGTAGAAACCAAAGTATAAAAACACTGCCTTTTTTGGATTGCGTTTCCTAGAATCTCCAGGCCAGTATGGCCCTGGGCCATGCTGTCCTGGGGATTTGGGGAACTGTAATTTTTTTAAAAAGGAATTTTGCTATGCCCTGATAAAAATACTATCACCTTTCAGAAATGCTTTAGCTGTGATGTCTTGCACTGGCAGAGTGTAGGATGAGACGGTATTTGGGATCCCTTCCAACTCTATGATTCTAAATCAAGGATAAACAGCCCTATGATATCTGTTAGAGGAAAAAGATATGGCATTGACAGAATTATCTAGTGATGCTAAGTGGTTTCCAAACTTTGGTTCTCCAGATGTTTTGGACTTCAGCATCCAGAATTCCTTATTGTTGGACAAACTGGCTGGGGCTTCTGGGAGTTGACCTAAGTTTGGGAAACACTGTGCTAAATCAAGGCCCATTAAAACACTAATTTATTTACTCTTTTACACACTAAATGCGTCAGCCACCTTACGGGAATTGTGTTTTGGAACCACTTCCCCTTCTGTTTCATATGCACATCAATGCTGTTTTAGATAGTAGGGTCCCTTTAGGGTTAATTTTAATCTTCCTTAAATTTCCTTTATGTTAGACAACTTCCTCTTCTGGTACTATAAACATTTCCCCTCTCTTAAAGAAGATGATGCATTCAGAATAGAACTTTTATATTCATACCCTCCAAAATTTCACAGATGAAAAATGTATGGCTAAGCAGCATTAGAATATGGTCAAGATGACAAAAATTATTCATTAGAAAGGACACACAAGGAGTATGGATCAGCTTTACTGAAGTCACTTGCCATATCAAAGCCAACCACTGCAGCAGGTTTGCTCATTGAGGTCCACTTAATTCATCTGGAATTACCCCCAAGTATGCAGAATATATCATACAAAGAGCAGTTTTAGACTCGGAAGAGGGATACACAAGCCAAGAGAGGCCGCAGCAGTTTGTTTTTGCCTGAGCCTAAGGGGAAGGTCAAGATTCCTTCCATTCCTCTTCTCTCTCCCTCCTAAAGTTAATTCAGTGCAAGCTACTTTTGTCATTTGAACTCAGTTTGCAGCAAGTGAAGTAAGTTGAACAAAAAAGGAGAAAGTGGGGGGAAGAGAGAGAAACAGGGACATTTAAAAAGCAGTTGAAAAAGTGGGATGACAGAGGATTAATTAGGACTATGCATTCTAAATCTGGACTGTTGGAGGATATGGTAATCTAGACTTGAAGGTTCATTTCATTTTGGATAACTCCAGCTGCTGTAAGTGATAAGTTATAGACACGAAATATTTATATTAAGACTACTGGGTTGATGTTTTCTTGTTCGTTTGCTTTGAGAAACAAGAGTTAACATGTTCTTCGATGTTGATGTAATTGGGCTATATATTCATTGTGCTGAGAGCCATAGAGTTTAATGATTTGAGTGTTGAACCGTGACTCTGGAGTCTAGGGTTCGATTCCTGCTCGGCTATGAAACCCGTTAGGTGACCCTGGGCAAGTCACACATTCTCAGCCTCAGGAAAAGGCAATGGCAAGCCTCTGAACAAATCTTGGTAAACCATGGTATACGGGGGAGGGGGGATATAGAGAGGCTGCATCTACACTGCAGAATTAATGTACTTTGACACTGCTTTAACTGTCATGGTTTCATCCAATGGGACTGTGGGATTTGTAATTGGTTGTAGCACCAGAGCTCTCTGAGAGAGGAGGCTAAATATCTCACAAACCTACAAATCCCAGAATTCTATAGCACTGAGCCATGCCATTAATTCTGTAGTGTAAATGCAGCCTCTGTATATCCCCTAGGTATACCAATAGAACTGTTGCAATCCACACTGACAGAGACAACTCTAGTGCTAACCAACATATGTCAACAGATATGGAAAACAAAACGATGGCCAACAGATTGGAAGAGATCGATATACACCCCCATCCACAAAAAGGGAGACACAAGAGACTACAACAACTATAGGACCATTGCACTGATCTCCCATGCAAGCAAAATCATACTCAAAATACTGCAACGTAGACTCTAACCACACATGGAGAGAGAAATCCCAGAGCTCCAAGCAAGGTTCAGGAAAGGAAGAGGCACAAGGGACCACACTGCAAATATACGATGGCTAATGGAGCGCAGAAGGGAGTCCCAAAAGAAAATGAGAATGTGCTTTATAGACTATAGTAAAGCCTTTGACTGCATAGATCATGGAATGTCCTTAAAGACATGGGAGTGCCAACACATCTGATAGTCCTGATAAGGAATGTGTACTCTGGACAAGAGGCTACTGTAAGAAAAACACGGAGAAACAGAATGGTTCCCAATTGGCAAAAGAGTCAGACAAGGCTGCATCCTTGCACCCTATCTGTTGAACTTGTATGCAGAACATATTATAAGAAAAGCAGGCTTGGATACAGAAGAAGGAGGAATGAAAATAGGAGGAAGGAATATCAACAGTCTGAGATATGCTGACGACATCATAATACTAGCAGAAAACCTCACAGACCTGGAACAACTAGATGAAAGAAGAAAGTGCAAAGGTAGGCTTACCGTTGAAAGAAAGAAAACCAAAATAATGACCACAGACAACTTACACACATTCAAACTAGTCAATGAGGAAATAGAAATAGTGAAAGAGTTCTCATATCTGGGATCAAACATTGATTGAAACAGGGACTACAGCCAGGAAATCAAGAGAGGATTAAGAATGGGGAGGGGGGCTAGGAAAAAAACTAGAAAAGATCCTAAAATACAAAGACATACAACTCAGTACAAAAGTCAGAATCATACAAGCCACCGTATTCCCTATTACCATGTATGGGTGTGAGAACTGGACAGTCAAGAAAGAAGATAGGAGAAAAATCAAAGCATTTGAGATAATGTGGTGCTGGAGAAGAGTGCTGAGAATTTGTTTGCCCAAAGGGCAAACAAATGGGTCCTAGAACAGATCAAGCCAGAGATATCCCTAGAACCCAAGATGACAAGACTTGGGGGGGATGCTGACGGGTGGCCCTGGGCCACCCTGGGAAGTGGAGGATTGGGGCCAAGGCTGCCCCATGCCTCGCCCCCAACCCACCCTTTTGCTGATCCTGAAAGGAGAGCTAAAATGCCAGTTCTTCCAGAGCCGTCATATAGGGTGCCCGAAAAGCTGCCATGCGGCTCTTCTGCATCCCTTCCAGTGCAGCGCATTAAGACGCTGCACCAGGAGGACATCTTGATGGCGCATGCCATGCGTAATGGCACATGCCATGATGACATCCTCAGGAAGGGGTTGGGGCGCCCGGCGTGTGGCTGCCCCCCCCTTCCCTGCCTCCAAGATGGCACAAAGCGCTGTCTGTAGAGGCCCTTAGACTGTCATACTTTGGACACATCACGAGAAGGCATGAATTGTTGGAAAAGACAATAATGTTAGGAAAGGTGGAGGGAAGTAGAAAGAGAGGAAGGCCATGCTAGATGAATAGACTTTATTAAAGAGACCACAAATAAGAGTTTGCAGGAGATGGGTAAAGCAATAGAGGACCGGGGTGGGGGGCTGGAGATCATAGAATCATAGAGTTGGAAGAAACAAGGGCCATTCATTCCAATCCCCTGCCATGCAGGAACTCAAAATCAAAGCATCCCTGAGAGATGTTTCATCCATAGGGTCACCATCGGTCGAGACTGACGCAAAGGCCGTTAAGAACAACAAATACAATGGTTTACCAGCTGCTTTGATCTGGCCCAGAATATCACCGTGCTCACCATGTTCCCTTCCTGTAACTACCCAAGGATAATGTGCACATTTTAATAGCATTATAAGTGTTACATCAGGAGAATTCAAAGAGCTGAACAACAATTTTTTAAAAAGCACTACAAAAAACAAAATATACTCTTTGTGAAAAAAGGAGATAGGCTAGACTACATCAGGAAGGCTTCCAAAACAGGTATATTTTCAAAACACATCTAAATACAAAGGTTGGATCATGTCAAATTTCTGAGGGAGGGGTATTCTACATAGTTAAATGCCACATTAAACAGCACATTTGGCCACCCCCTTGCAAACAGAAACTGCATCAACAGCCTAGATTTGTTGTCTTTGTTGTTGTTGTTATCAGATCATTATTAAGTTGTATACCTGCATGGCTGCTGCCGTCTAAGCCAAAGGTTCTCATTCTCTAATGGAAATGATGACATTTTATTTGTGTGAAGAGCTCACAGTCCTGTGGTGATATAAAATATCTTGTCCCTCTTGGAAATGACAAAACAAACTGACCCAATCCCCCCCAAATATAAAGATGCTAACTGTTCAAGCTGATATCAGACCTTAGGAAATTATTTTAGGGTGGGGGGGAACAACAACCCTAGAATCCCCACACCAGCACGGCCATGAGAAATGTAATCCAAATAAATAAATTTCCTATTTTTGGAACGCCAAACTATTTTAAAGCTGCCCTCTCTTTACTCAAAGACAGGGAGAAAAAGCTCTTGAAATACACACATTCACTCATTACACTTCTATTTCTAAATTTAC